CGCTTACACCCCTCAGTTGGGTGAATTAAACACAATTATGCTTTGGGCTAGAACACAAACATGTATTAGCCTACATTTAATTGAAATGTAGTAGTGAGATTGTCTGGTTTCATGCCACATGTGCAGTATAAGCTTTGAAGCCTTGGCTGTGTAATCAAGCAAAAGTAAAAGACCACACTTGAAAGTAGAAATACAAAAAAGATTTATATAGATGTTTCAACAAGTTAAAACCTCGGGAATTTGGAGGCAGGGTGGGCATCACGGAGATTAAGGCTTTTTGTTTTATCCTTAATCTTACATGAACGAAAGCCAATCTCCTCAGCTGTCTCTCAGAGAGCTGCACAGCCTCAGGAAGCAGGAAGAAGCAACATTACCCCCAGCTAAACCCCCCAAAGAAAAACACACCACAGACAACAGGGGGATTTACAATACAGACTCATGAGTAGTCACATAACCAACAGCTCTTTCTTCTTGCTCAGTGGCCCGATCATTGTCTGTTTCTGTTTGAGGGATGAGTCACATCCACTCATTTTCTCAACACAAACCCCAGGTCCCTGAACACACCATTAACTCACCTACTCTTCTTCCTTAATGACTCACTGGACTCCAGGCTCACAAAGTCACAAAGGTGAGATGTCGCCCACAGTTGTCTCACTTCCTCTGTTTCTTTTGGCATTTGGAAAGAAAGTTCTTTAATAACTTGTTAAGAAACTGATTTGCCTTAACCTTAACAAAACAGATAACTGAGTGGGTTAGCGGATCTGACGTAAATGAATAATAAACGGCGTCCCGCTGTTTAGAGACCGCTGTTTTTCTGGTGTTTTTTCCCATTCGCTTTGATATGCAAAAAAGCCAAAACAGTAGGACATAACGGTAAGTATTTCATATGAACACATACAGTAAAAGTTTGTGATTGCTCAGTTCAAAGTGAAAGTGGGGGGTTTGGTTCAAATCAATACGGCTCAATTACCAAAAACCCTGCCTAGTAAAAAGCCCTTTCAAGACAATGCGTATACAGTGTGTCAGAAACTTGTAAATGATCCAATTGCGTAACTGATATGTGAATAAAAAAGATTTTTGTAATCTTAATAAGTCTCGCTTCTGCCAGATAGTTGTGAAAGAAGAGAAAACCAAGAGAGACAACTGGGGGGGGGGGGGGGGGTTTAAAGAGTCACGAGAGGCTGCAATTAATGTAATCCCTACGCTTGGCTTCAATGTCGAATAAATGGGTGATCACATCCCAATCCTCACACTCATTCCTGTCACACTAAGCTGTTATATACTTTTATCTAAGGGCAGCATGCAGAAAGAGTCTGTCATGGTTTCCCGGCACTCAGACTATCAACAGCGAGCGTTAAACTGACACTGTGTGCTTTTAACAAGAAGAAGCACGTCTCGCAGCAATGATTCACATGCATACGCTGTTGTCAACATGTAGAAGTACACATGTAGATTTGAACACCTGGGGCGACGCTGAAATATGTCCGTAAACAGGCTGGAGCAACGCCGCACATTCTGATGTGGTAACAAATCTTACAAAACGATATCAGGCAAGAAACCACACAACACAAGTCTAGATGAGTAAAAAGAAATGAAGCCCCCCAATCACAGCCTGTTCATTGACTCACCATCTCAATCACCAATGTGTTAGGTCATAAGACATCTGAGCGGTGACTTATCTCATGATTTTGTAAACCGATCCCTGCATGATGGGGCTCAGGAAGCATATGGTTACTCATGAGGCTAAATACTTTCAAGTTGACACAAAGAGAGATAAGCGTCTGAGAGGGCTGGAGATAACGTCAAGGAAAGCCAGAGACAGAACAAGCAGATTTACATTTCCAGATGTTTCCAACTCGTTCTGTGTTTATATTTGTCTGAGATGAAAAGTAAACACTTCAGTTAGCCTGTGTAACTTTTTAGAGAACAAATAACACATTATTTCTACTCCAAAATAACTTAAAATGCAATATGTTGTTCATTTACGCTAGCAGAACATTGCTAAGGAGAACAGGCCAATGCTTGCGAGGATCAAGGGACTATGTGAGGTCACATCAATCGATAGAAAGAAGTCTGGAGACTAACCTTAATGTTAATGAAAACAAAGAAAATACTATAGTGTTCACTTTAAAGGTGGGGTAGGTAAGTTTGAGAAACCGGCTCGAGATACACTTTTTGTTATATTCCATGGAATGCTCTTAACGTCCCGATAGCAATGAATATCTGAAGTGCTTTGACAACAAATCCATGAAAAAATGTCATCAGTGGAAGCCGTGGCTCTGTAAAAAGCACAACCAATCCGTTTATCCGGGCCGGCTAAACGGATTGGATTGCCGCCTTCCATCTCGTGCACGCACAAATGTATCTCGTGCCCTCATTGGGCGTGCCGTCATTGGGCGTGCATTGCAGCAGTACTTCAATGACTCGCCAGCAACAGGCGGCCACTTTCACCAGTCTGCTGACGTCATGTGCGCGTTCATGTGTGGAGGAGGTGCTCTGTAAGGAAGTCTGAAGGAAGGGGCGGATTCTTTTCGGCTGTGTACTTTCAAATGTTAGTGAACTCGAGCCGGTTTCTGAAACTTACCTACCCCACCTTTAATTCATCATACACTTTATTATCTCTAAAGGGACAGTGGGTTGCATCGTGTTTAAGTTTGACGAAGTTCCCAGATATTCGTGTTAAAGAACTAAATCGGGATCTGATCACTTCCCCATCCTACAGATTGGGAAACAATTCAAAGGTGTAGGATGAGCCAACATTCCTGACCGACCGCATCAATGCTCTTGCTGCCGATTTCTCAGAAGGGAGGAGGTCGTTGTGGTTTTGGAATGAGATGTGGGTGTGATGTCTGCCATGAAATGTACATCATAATAAATCAAAAACACACAGCTGTACATCCGGAATGAGAGCCGCCTTAAGCAGTAAGCACAAAAGTTGCTTAACACAACGTTTGATGCAATGTCATACGGTAAGCTGGACTTAAGCCTTGCACTTGAGACGTGTATTATATCCTCTCTGGACAGGAAGTGTCAAATGCATTTTGGTGAAAGCTGCCACTTTAAGGCTGAAATTGGGCCCTCTGGCGAGCGGCTCTGAAGCTTTCACACAGTGGAAATGTCACCTGTCACACGCATTTGTGGTCTGCCACTGCGGTGTGCATCGGCTCTGTCATGCCCTGTAACCGGCATTAGTTTGGGAGATGAAGCTGGCACCCTCTGAACCTCCGCCATATTAAACTGCCTTGTTTGTATACAAGCCATAAGTGGATATAGGGGATATGACGCGCTGCCCATTAGTCTGCAGTGAAAGGGTATTTAATAAGTCTGGCCTATTTAAAATACAAATACACGAGCAGCACATGTAGCCAAGAGCAGCTCCCCAAAGTGAAGACCTTGCATGTGTTATATATCAAAGGATAGCTAGTTTCTGGAGAGACTGGACTGGGCTTTTCAATGTGGAACATCAAAGATTCTGTCCATAACAAGAAATGCACAAAGTTTTCCAGCTCACACTTCAAAAACACACACTGGGACGGCGGGGCGAAACGCACCACACACAGTTCATTTATTCTTTTTGACGGTCGGCGTGCGTGTGTGTGTGCGGGGGCGGCGGTGGCATCTTTCAGTTACTTATTCAACGGCTGTCAAAACACGACAAAAGAGAAGAATGCAGGGAGAAACCAAAACTGATGAGGCTGTAAGAGAGAAGAAAGACATGAAAAGAGACGAGCGAGGGAGGACATGAGGAAAGAGGACACAAATAGAAACAACACAGAAACAACAAGAGGGGTTGGGTCACTTTCCGTGTCCTCAATGCATCATAAAAATGTTTAGGTGCCATTTCAGATTCTTGCAGTAGAGTTTACTGATATTCTGCCCATTTTCTGATATTTAGAGAGATGTGTTGCCTTGGCCAGACCATTTACATGCACAACAACCTGTATAACACTACAGGGAAGGGAAACCCCCCCAAAATACACTTTTAGGACCAGATGTTCTGAAGTCAGCTGACCCTCACTCTTGAGGAGTGAGTCAGCTCTGCAGAAAGACACTTTATTTGTGTAAAGAAGAGACAGGAACATCTGGCTTCCAGTACAAACTTGCCTCCTTATAACCCATCTTTACAGCAGGGAGGGGATTCTCAAGCAGCTCAAGACCTGTTGATATCCCAGCATGCACTGCTCACATTCCTGACCTCCTTCTGTCACTCTTTAACTCGCCTCACCCTCTACATCCCCCCCCTTTACACTTCCCCACTGCTGTCTTTGAGCTGTGATGATTGACAGGAAGTGTTTTTAAAATCAGGTACTAACAGTATATGCAAAGTACATAAAGTAATGGTGGTGATGTTGCCTTTAAGAGTGTGACCTGGCAAAACCATGAGAGCTGGCACCCTGTGGAGTTGGGAATGTGGTGAGAAAGCCAAAAGGGAATGCTAAGACCTCCTGACCCCCCATTTTCTTTATCTGCACCCCACAGAGGGACAGATATCCCATGAGCAGTCACTCCTCTCTGCTACATCAAGGCCACGCTGACAAAAGCACTGCGTCCAAAAATTAAGCTTCCAATTAATTTCAATTAAACTGAAGCATTTGCACAGCTGCGGAAATGCAGGAAAATACAGACAATACGGGTGTAAGGTTGCAGTGAATACTGGACTTCCATGTCTGTAATCACATGTCCCGCCCCCAGCAGACACTAGCTACAACTTTTGTAAAAAAAAATTAAGGGCAGTGCTATTTTTGGTCTGAAAGCGTGTTAATTGTGGAGGTTTGACACATCCTTTGCCCCAAGGCAGGAAGGACATCACAGATAACCCCGGGAGGATATAATCAATACTGACACAACACAATAAACTAGCATTAAAGGGGACACACAACACGCAGGAGAAAGTCAAATCCCCTGCATGCAAGACTGTTTTTGCACAGTAAACATGTGAGTGCATTGACACAAGCAGACCAAAAGACACCAGTTGCCATTCAGATGAAGTTAATACTCACTGTGCATAGAGCCTTGCTGCTGACTGGAGGCTTTAGGTGGGCTGATCTTGCTCTTGGGGGGTAGCATCTCCATGTGTTGGCCCTTCTCACCTGGATTCTGTCTGGGGGCCTCGGCCTGAGTCTCGCTCTGTGCTTTGTCCTGAGTCCCAGCGACTTTAAGAGACTTCTGTCGGCTCAGGATCCCATCGCTACCTGCCCTCATCAGCTTTTCCCCAACGCTCAGCACCCGAACTCGACCCGTTGATTCCTTCCTGGGGGAGGGAAGCCTGGATCCGGCCCCGATGGAGGAGGCGGAGGGCCGCGCCAGCCTGGAGGCTTTGGACATCCTGCAGCAGGTCAGAAAAGCTCCTCAGCCACAGTGACTGCTGTGGTGTCCCGTGAGGAAATCCAGTGAGAGAGTGTGACTCTGCGGCGTGTTGTGACTGGTGCAGGTAGGCTGGAGGGGGCCGGCACTTTGGAGAAGCTATAGGTGAGGGGTGGGGGGTTAACAGATCCTTGGAAGGTGTTCTCTCCTCCTGGCGTGGCCTCATGGGAACATCCTCCAAAGCAAACAGTGTGTGTAAGTGTGTGTGTGTGTGTGTGTGTGTGGAGTGACAGGTCTTGCTGTGCCAAATGCAAACAGAAACTCAGGTCTCCAGTGTCAGTGCATTCCGGCTTTTTAATCCCCCTCTCCTTCACACTCTTTTTGGTACATTTCTCACCCTCTCTTGCACTCCGACTAAAGGTTGTCAACTTGCCTAAAAAATGGTCCCCATGTTGCTGTCCTCGTGTGCCTCCTCTTCTCTTTTTGCTCACTCGCTTCTCCTCTCTGCTGATGCTCAGCGGGTGACCGTTCCAGCGCTCCGGCAAAAAGCAGAGAAAGATTTAGAGACAGCAAAACAAAAAAAAGAGTACGAGAGAGATAGAGAAAGTACCGGCTTTGTGGAGGAGCTCTTCTCTTCAGGTACAGCTGCTCAAGCTGTTCCAGATGTGTGTGTGCGTGCGTGCGTGTGTGTGTGTGTGTGTGTGCAGCGCTTCACGTCATCACCCGACCGCTCTGAGCCACAATCACTGGTTTCACTTCGTTCCCTCTTTCTTCATCTTTTTCGCCTCTGGTCCCTCTACTCCCGACAGCCTGAACTCGCCACATGTGATGAGTCGACCGGAGGCGGGACAAAACACCGAGCCCTTCACTCTCTGATGCTGGAATTTACAGAGAATTAAAGAGCGCAAAGGAGGGGAGCTTAGCAGCGTGTGTGTGTGTGTGTGTGTGTGTGTGTGTGTGTGTGTGTGTGTGTGTGTGTGTGTGTGTGTGTGTGTGTGTGTGTGTGTGTGTGTGTGTGTGTGTGTGTGAGAGAGATACACACACAGTGGAGCTGTTCTGATCTCCTGCAAACGAAGACATCAGCTGTGACACGAAGGAAATATAAGAAGTTGTCTCGGAGAAGATCAGAGCTTTCTGACACTTCTCATCTTGCTTAAGAAAAAACGTCTCATCCTTAAAGAACTCTCAACAAATGTCTGACCCACAGAAATGTCCTCAGCCAAATAATAATTGCCAGACAAGAACAATAAAGTATGAATCACTGCAGGGCGGACACAGCAAAAACAAGATTTTACAGCATTTTCTTCTGTTGTAAAAGCACACTTTGCTGACAGAGCAACTCTCGCAAGTAAACCACAATCCCATAAACGAGTCTTGATTAATTGACTCTAGTCTAATGTCTAATTCATAACTCTGCACACCTATTTTGGGCTCTGAGCCTGTGACAGTGTAATATGCCGCAGCACGCGAAACAGGACATGTGATATAACGTCATTTCGTGCGTACAGACTAAACACCAGAAAATGGATTACAGTGAGAAACCGGATCAACTGTGTGTGCTATAAAAGAGCAACAAACACATGGACGGGAGGTTTAGAGGATTTCTCTCTCAGACATCAGAGAAAGTCCCAGACCCAACCTGCATGGCATGACTACAGGATATAAGTTTACATAGAGATTTAAAAGAAAAAGCCCCACATGCCTCTCCCCCCTCTATGATTGCCTTTTAGACGACTAAGCTTTCTGAACACGATGACAACCATCACTGATTGTACAGATAAGAAATATTCATCGTATTGCCACATATCTGCGTGGCTTTAGATAAAGAGCAAAGCAGATTGACCTACATACAGTACTTTCCCGATGAATAGTTAGCTGACAAAATCAGAGCTAGAGGGAAAACGCTGCATGTCTGAGGGAATATCTGTCAAAGAGAGAGAAAGTGAAGAAGGTACAGACATTTCCATAAGATTAAATATTGTCCTAGATTATGTCCATGCGTCACCCGTTTGGATGAGTTTCTATTATGTTTACAACATCCTAAAGGATTACGTCAAATCTAAAAAAAGGTTAACCAGGAAAAAACCCAGTGTGGCAACTCTCCCATGCGATGGATATATTTGTGTACTGGGAGTAAATGAAAGCCCTCTGTGTGGATTGGATGGCTTCGAGCCAGGCATAACTGTACTGTAGGCAAACAGGATCTAGGTTCAAAGACTTTAAATAACATAGCATTTGAGGACGGATATAATTTGAGTTTCCTAATTAAGCCTGGGATTTTTTGCAATGTGATAGATCGTAATGCATAAAAAAACAGAGGGGAAAGTATCAAAGTACATTTACTTAACTACTCTTCTTAAAGGAACCCATTTCTGCAAAATGTTTGGTTCAAATTAGTATGTAGTTTCCCTACTTTAAAGAGTCCTCTCCTGCTGATGTTCAGGTGTATATCACAGGGTTTCCCACACATAGACTATACTTGGGGGGCCGCCCAGGTATATTAACGGCCGCCCAAGTATATTTCGCGACCCATTTAGTTTTTTTTAGTTTTTTAATAATTTTTTTTTTTAATATATATTTTTTTTTATTCGTCCGTGACCACGACGCCATCTGCGATCGATTAACCTGTGGACAATGATCCCTCGCTCCCTTGCTCTGATCTCGCCTACTTCTGGCCTGTTAAGTGGCCTGCCTCACACAGGGTGACTGGCTGTCCACATGATGTGGTCTGCCGACATGGCCACTGTCATACAGATCATAAATCAAAGCCCTTGATTGGTCTCTGTGTGTCATTCAAGCTCGGGATAACCTCAGCTCAGGTGAGGTAAAGCACTCTCTGAGTGTTTAGATAGTTAACTTAGTCTAAGTTCTCAGTGGGTCTCAAACGGTGTGGTCACCATTTATGTAAACACATATTTCCATTTGAGAGGGTAGTGATTGGTCTAATGGATAGTGAGGTGGGCTGAAGATCGGAAGGCTGTGAGTTCAAATCCCGCCAGGAACACCAGCACTAGTGTGCCCTTGAGTAAGGCACTTAGCCCTTAGTTACTCCAGGGAGAATGTCCCTGTAATCGGTCATTATAAGTCGCTTTGGATAAAAGCGTCAGCTAAATGAAATGTAATGTGATTAGTAAAATATGCATGAATAAATAAATAAAAAGTTAACTAGGTGAAAAAAGGTAAGATACACTTTTAAAACTTGTTGAGAGAAAACTAGTCTTTGCTGCTGCCTCAAAGAGGAGCAGGGGGGAGAGGATGGAGAGGGGGGAGAGGAGGGAGACAGGAGAGGCTGATTCAGGAGCACAGACACACTCACAACTATAAATGAACCAAAACTAAATTAATAAACAAGTTTCAGTGTTTTTTTCATATTGGAAATGGTATGTTATTGGTTATGGCCTTGATTTTATGATTATTGAAATGTATACAGTTCTGTTTAATATAGGTGTTTCCATAGATCTAGTCTCTTTATTTCCCCCTCAAAATGCACCAGATTGATGCATTTAACTCCAAAATAAAAAATAAAATCTTACCGGGGGGGCATGCCCCTGGACCCCCATAGAGGATTTGAGGTCGACCCCCACTAAAAATCACATGGATAGGTTCCTAAATACATTAATAAATACATTTATTTTTTTAAATAGTAACCCATTTCCATATGTTCATGTGTGGGTAGTAGATTTAAACTATAGGGCTATCATTATGGACCCTGCCTGTACCTGTACCTGTTCGCTCTGCCATCGCGTGAAGGGTCTGCTAACAAGCGACCAACAGAAAGGTTAATGTTGTTGCACGTCACCTCAACCCCCCCCGCTACCACCACCCCCCAAAGTATATTTCAGATCTGTGGGAAACACTGGCAGTTAATGGACCAGCACCAGAGGCGTTCCCATACACACAGGCGTTGGAGCTGTTCTTCATGAAATCCCAGAAGGATGAAGTGCTCTGACAAACAGTGCCATCTTTGCGCAAAATGATTATACCGGAATGAAAAGTCAATAAATAATGTTGTAATAAATAATAATAATAAATTATTTATTTTTTCGCACCCCCCCCCTCCCTCCTTGCCACCACCCGGCCGCCCAAGTATATTTCATATCTGTGGGAAACACTGTATCAGTATGTAGTGTCTCTACTTTAAAGAGTCCTCTCCTGCTGATGTTCAGCTGTATATCAATATGTAGTGTCTCTACTTTAAAGAGTCCTCTCCTGCTGATGTTCAGGTGTATATCAGTATGTAGTGTCTCTACTTTAAAGAGTCCTCTCCTGCTGATGTTCAGGTGTATATCAGTATGTAGTGTCTCTACTTTAAAGAGTCCTCTCCTGCTGATGTTCAGGTGTATATCAGTATGTAGTGTCTCTACTTTAAAGAGTCCTCTCCTGCTGATGTTCAGGTGTATATCAGTATGTAGTGTCTCTACTTTAAAGAGTCCTCTCCTGCTGATGTTCAGGTGTATATCAGTATGTAGTGTCTCTACTTTAAAGAGTCCTCTCCTGCTCATGTTCAGGTGTATATCAGTATGTAGTGTCTCTACTTTAAAGAGTCCTCTCCTGCTGATGTTCAGGTGTATATCAGTATGTAGTGTCTCTACTTTAAAGAGTCCTCTCCTGCTGATGTTCAGGTGTATATCAGTGTGTAGTGTCTCTACTTTAAAGAGTCCTCTCCTGCTGATGTTCAGGTGTATATCAGTATGTAGTGTCTCTACTTTAAAGAGTCCTCTCCTGCTGATGTTAAGGTGTATATCAGTATGTAGTGTCTCTACTTTAAAGAGTCCTCTCCTGCTGATGTTAAGGTGTATATCAGTATGTAGTGTCTCTACTTTAAAGAGTCCTCTCCTGCTGATGTTAAGGTGTATATCAGTATGTAGTGTCTCTACTTTAAAGAGTCCTATCCTGCTGATGTTAAGGTGTATATCAGTATGTAGTGTCTCTACTTTAAAGAGTCCTCTCCTGCTGATGTTCAGGTGTATATCAGTATGTAGTGTCTCTACTTTAAAGAGTCCTCTCCTGCTGATGTTCAGGTGTATATCAGTATGTAGTGTCTCTACTTTAAAGAGTCCTCTCCTGCTCATGTTCAGGTGTATATCAGTATGTAGTGTCTCTACTTTAAAGAGTCCTCTCCTGCTGATGTTAAGGTGTATATCAGTATGTAGTGTCTCTACTTTAAAGAGTCCTCTCCTGCTGATGTTCAGGTGTATATCAGTATGTAGTGTCTCTACTTTAAAGAGTCCTCTCCTGCTGATGTTCAGGTGTATATCAGTATGTAGTGTCTCTACTTTAAAGAGTCCTCTCCTGCTGATGTTCAGGTGTATATCAGTATGTAGTGTCTCTACTTTAAAGAGTCCTCTCCTGCTGATGTTCAGGTGTATATCAGTATGTAGTGTCTCTACTTTAAAGAGTCCTCTCCTGCTGATGTTCAGGTGTATATCAGTATGTAGTGTCTCTACTTTAAAGAGTCCTCTCCTGCTGATGTTCAGGTGTATATCAGTATGTAGTGTCTCTACTTTAAAGAGTCCTCTCCTGCTGATGTTCAGGTGTATATCAGTATGTAGTGTCTCTACTTTAAAGAGTCCTCTCCTGCTGATGTTCAGGTGTATATCAGTATGTAGTGTCTCTACTTTAAAGAGTCCTCTCCTGCTCATGTTCAGGTGTATATCAGTATGTAGTGTCTCTACTTTAAAGAGTCCTCTCCTGCTGATGTTCAGGTGTATATCAGTATGTAGTGTCTCTACTTTAAAGAGTCCTC